ATGGGCTAGAAACCAGTTCCTGGCTCCTCGCATATCCATCTTCCTGGGAGGTCACAGTGCCTCTTGGAGTGGTTATAGTTGAAAGCTTAGTTCATTCACCAGGTATTATTGAGCATCTGCTATGTACCAGCACTGCTCTGACCATGGGTACAGTTGTGAACAGGAAAGAACAGCTCTCTGCTCTCATGGCGCTTAAGTCGTAGAGGGAGTTGTATGCAAAGCCTGTCTGAAACAAAACCGTGCAGCCCCACAGAGTATATCTCCCTTGAGGGCAGATTTTTATCTGTTCTGCTCATGGTTCCGTCTCTGGTACCTACGCAGTGCTGGACATGTAACAGGTGTGCAGTGGGTGATTGTTTCACGAATAAGCAACCGTACAGTGAAACTATGGCGCCTCCCAAATTTAACTATTTTACAAAAAGAAATAGAATAGGAGATGTTTAATGAGAAGGATTATTTATGTAGGGGATCACACCATAATTTGCATCTGCTACTAAATCGCTGTGTTTTTGTAAGTTATAAAAGCTTTTTGTGAAAAAAAAATTTCATTTCAAAATGTGTACCCTCAGGTGTGTAAATGACATCTATAGATATTAACCCACATGGTAGCTGGAACTGTATATTAAATCCCCATAACAATTTAAGTATTTATAATATTTGCTTTAAAAAATAGTTGATACTTTTATGTACAAGCTGAAATGGCTTCCCAACTAGGATGTTTGTTGTGATGAAAAAAAGGGGGCGTTCAGGTGAGCTGCCTGTCAGTGGTTACAATGTGTTCAGGTTGTGATAGTCGTGCTGTCATTCTATGTAAGCACCTGATCTCTCAGCTTCAGAACATTTTAGGGCCGATGTTGAACAGATCTGGTTACATACCTGCCGTCATCCTCAGCTGAGTATATTTCTCCTGGGTGAAAGGGTGGTGGCCAGGCCAGAAATACAAAACAAAATGAGAGAGTTTGAAAATAGTTTATGACCGATGAAGTACAAGTACTTCAAAAGAACAGAATTCTCTAAGATAATTAGTTTATGAACAAAACATGTGATAGGAAAATGGTTTTGCAAAAAACTGTGATAGTGCTACTTCAGGTGACTTTAGCATTCATAGCATTGTGTTCATTCTTCCCACCGGAAGAAACTGCTGTTGCGTTTTTCTTTAATGAGACAAACTGGGAAGCAGCACGGTACCCATCCAGGCACAAGTCCACCCTGCATGGGGGTCACATCGGCCGTCCGCACCCTACCTCGCAGCCGAGACACACAGGCTGCTCAGCATCCCAACTTTGAACAAGTGCCACTTGCAACACTTTCAACCCATCCTTTGGGTGAAACACTGAAAGATGAGCACGTTGAAAGAGCTAGAAAGAAGAGCTGCTTAGAACGGAAGCAGAACTGACCGTAGTGAGGAAATGGCCGCTGTGTTTCAGGAGTGAGGTGTTGGACAGCAGGAGGCGTCCTCCGGGGCCCCCAGTTTGGGCAGCACAGGGGAGGTGCTGTGCTTGAGCAAAGCACGCCGACCAGCAGGAGGTGAGGCCAGGGCAGGAAAGGCGCCAGCCCAGGATCAGCCTATGGTGGGCATCTCTTAACCTAGAGTGGGTCCAAGAGGGAGTGGGGGGCCGGCGAGCTCGAAGGCGGGGCATATGTGAGATGCTACTGCTGAGATTTTGGTCACAAGCCGTGGATTATTCACGGGATCAAGACCCGGTCATATCTGCGCGGTAACAGAGTTCAGTAGCCACGTCATGAGCGCGCCATACAGACGGGCCTCCCTCAACTGCAGGTGTCACGGTGCCAGCGGGGCGGATTTTCAGTGCAGACAAAACTACTTTGGAAAAAGATGTCCATAGACCCACAAACAGTAAATATAAAGTATCTATGCAGGCAGAATAAGCCTGGTTTTTAAATTTCTGAAAGAATCTGACTCATACTCCTTTAGTGTAATGCACCTCAGGGCCAAGTTCAAACTCTTCTTAGTTCACTGAATGTCCTAGATCCCTAAAACATTTGAAAAGCAGACTGGAAACCCCAAATTCTTTTCTACAGTTCATTGGTTGCAGAGGCCTTTTGTCTCGTAGAAAACCTTCAAGTCACAATTTTCACTTAGAATTTGTTTGCAGCGGTGCCAACAGCTGTGCGTGACTAGTGGCTTCCCGTAAGGTGCTTATTATTAAGAAAAACAAAATGCAGGCATCTTTGGATAAACTTTTGAAGGATTATAAAGAAGCAAAAAGAGTCCCACCTGCTGCACAAATTGGGGTCCCTGCCAAGGTCATAAACATCTCCTTTTCTCTCATGAAAGTAACCTGCCTGCCTTCATTATCTATTTCACTATTTTGGACCCAGAAACAAAATGGTCTCAAATTTTATTCCGAAGTCTGCAAAGAACTGACCCATTAGCAAAGACTAACACATGGGTTTTCTCTATTGCATTGAGATTTTATATGTCACACATTTGAGTTTATGTGATAATTTTTAATTGTTTTTAATAATGAAAAACATTTTTTAGATAAAATCTGACCTCATGCAGGTTGTTTCCTTCGCCTCTTATCCTCATCCCTGGTCAGGGTGAATGGAGGTGGGAGTCTCTTGACATAATAACACAATAAAAATTATGCCAAAAGAAGTTGGGGAAAAAAACTGACCCCACAGGCGACTGAACTAATTATACAAGAGCAAACATATCACTACAATGGAACCATCTGATAGTCGCCACCTTAACCAAAGGATCAGGTTCATAGCCTTCTGAAGGGTAGCGGGAGAGCCTGACGTTTTGTGCCTTGTGGATCGGTGAAATATGAAGTGCATAATGTCCCCACATAAAGTATTCTTGCCAAAAGTGTTTAACCTACATCTACACGATCCTCAGATCCAACTTGCAGTTTGCAAGCAGAGCAGGAATAAGTTAAATGACACAAGAAAGAAAGAATATGACAAATCCAGAAAGAGAAACATTTTTTTTAAAAAACAGCTGCCCTGGTCTCCTCAAAAAGTCAATGGTTTTCATGAAAAAATTTAATGGCTTTTATTTTCACTTCTTGAAAAATGGGGAGGGGCTAGTTAGGGCTTAAAAGTCTAACCAGAGACAGAAACCAAATGCAATGTGTGAATCTTGATTAATTCTGTTTTGGGGGAAAAGATGCACTTGGGACAGTTGGAGAAATGTGAATAAGGATTGTATGTTAGGTGGTGAGTCATTGTTGTTAGGTTTTTAATCTCGTGGTGGCCACATGGTCATGCATGAGATGTCCTGTGCTTGCAAGGGGACGCACTGAGGCATGGGAGAGTGAACTCATGCTGTGTGCCACTCTCAGACCTCAACGGAGAGCGTCCGGGTGCTCTGGGTGCTGCCTGTTCACCGCTCAGGACGATGGGGTCTGCCGTGTGTACGGACAGGCCTGCCTCATTTTACTGCGCTTTGCTTTCCTGCACTTCACAGATACCGCGTTTGTAACAAATTGAAGGCTTGTGGCAGCCCTATGTCAAGTAAGTCTGTCAGCACCATTTTCCCAACAGCATTTTACTCCCAAAATGTGACAAAATGTCTCTGTGTCAGTGTCACATTTTTAGAATTCTCACAATATTTTAAACTTTTTCATTATATTTTTTATACTTTAATATTTTTAATTATTTAATCAATATTCTTGATATTTAGTAGATTTTCTTTCTTTTGTATCTGTTATGGTGACCTGTGATCAGTGACCCTTGATGTCACTACTGCAATTGTCTGGAGAGCCGCAAGCCCTCCCGTGTGAGGCAGTGAGGCTAATGGGCAGTGCGTGTGTCTGGCTGCTCTGTCGGCTGCCTGTCCCCGGGCCTCCCTGTCCCCTGGGACAAAACAATATTGAAAGTGGGCCAAATCATCACCCTACAACAGCCATTAAGTGTTCAAGTGAAAGAAATAACATCTCTCACTTTAACTCAGAAACCAGAAATGAGTCAGCTCAGTGACGAAGTCACGGCAGGCCCGGGGCTGGGCCTCTTGAGCCAAACAGCCACGCTGTGAATGCAAAGGGCGGGTGCTCCAGAGCGATTAAAAGTGCTCCTCCGGTGCAGACACGAATGGTACGGAGCGGAACTGCCTTATTGCCGATACAGAGGAAGGCTGAGCCGTCTGGGTAGAGGGTCAGACCAGCCCCAGCATCCCCTCAAGCCGAGGCTTAATGTCAACCCTCTCCAGTTCCCTGAGGGCTGAGAGAGGTGGGGAAGCTCCAGGAGAAAAGTCGAAGCCTGCAGAGGTTGGTTTGCGAGGTTTATGGAAAGAAGTCAACTCCTCTGTGACGGGAAAGAGCAGGTGGAGCAGCGGGTGCTGAGGGGGAAGCTGCACCGAGTCACCCCGCGGACCCAGCTCACATCATTCATGAAGGTGGCACTAACCAGCAGGTTCTCAGACAGCTTCGCTGAAATGACAGAGGGTTAGAATATGACGTGAACTTAGTTGACGAAGCGGTGGCAGCGTTTGAGGGGACTGACTAATCGTGAAAGAACTACTGTGGGTACAGTGCCATCGCAGAGCTTCGCAGGCCGCAGAGAAACCACCTGTGGAGGAGGGATCAGTGCCACAGGCTTCACGGTGTCTCATTTTAAGATGTCGCCCCAGCCTTCCCGGCCAACAGCAACCACCACCCCATCTGTGTGCGGCAGGAAGGCAGGGCCTCCACCAGCAAAACGCTTACGGTCCCCGACAGCTCATCTGATGGCCAGCATTTTCAGCAGTAAAATATTTGTTAATGAAGGTATGTACATTGTTCAGACAGGGTGCTGTTGCACACCTAACGGACTGCAGTATAGTGTAAACGTCACTTCATGCACACTTGGCAGTGTGTGTGAGCCCCACCCGCCGCGTCTCCACGGTCTGCTTGCACAGTTCTCGGGACAGATCTTTAGGTGCATATATGATGGAGAGAGGCTTGACTTTTATTCTTTCAGAAGCAAAAGTTAGAGAAGTACTAAGTAATTTTTAAAGGACAAATGAGTTAATTTCCCCCTCTTTTCTATTTTAGGCTCAGGAGAAAGGAAGATTAAACTATGCTAAGGTAGGTGGATTTTACATATACTACACGGTTTTATACATTTAAGTTTGGTGTTTGGTTTTTCATATTTGAAAAGTCAAAAGAAAATCATCGCCATCAAAGCTGAGGGATATTCCCTGTCGAGTAGCATTCATAGGGAAAGTGAGGCTCACTCCACAGCAGTGGTCCTTGCCGGGTGCCTGCTTCCACCGGACACCATGTTGGTGTGGGGGTTCAGAAGAACCCCGGTGAAGCCTCTCCCCTCAGGACATTACAGTCTAGTGTGGGAGACAGATAGTGAAGGAACAGTTGAATGGGTGCATGATGCAGTGCCATGGGGTGGCGAGTGCTGTGAAGAAACAGTGAAATCACTCACCATTGCTGGAAAGATGCCTTTGGCCTCTGGGTGGAAACCAGCTCTTAGCACCTGAGAAGCACCGCACAGGGCAGAGCCGGACGCCCAGAGGCACTGGTTTCCCCTCGCCTGTGGGGCTTTGGACATCACGCGGACCTGGTGCCCACAGATCACCCTCTGTCAGCAGGACCAGCATCGCCTGGTGGGGAGAGCAGCGCGGGGGCTGGAGGGAAGGGCTGAAAGGGGCTCCACAGGCAGTCCTGACACTGTCCTGTTTAAAAACTACCACGGAGCTCACAGTGCACGCCCGTGAACACACGGAGGTGACATTCTGTTTTCGCCTCGGGGACAAATGGCACATGTAGCGGGTGTGTGGGACACATGCAGCTCTTGGCTGAGGGAGCATGCTAGCCATCTGGCTTCTGCAGCAGTCAGGAGTGACCAGGTGCAAGCACACCTGCACCCCAAAGATGAGGGGATGTGCCCTGGAAGGGCCCTGCTCATAGTGGGACCGTGAAACCCTCGGTGCCTGCGGCTGTGTCTTCCCTGCAGCCGCGAGGCGCACACCGCGCTGCCTGCCAGCCCCCCAGCCCTTCTCCTTGACGGGCATGCAGGCCCTCCCGCTCTGTCCTCCTCCAAGAAAACCTGGGCGATAGGAGCCCCTCTGAACCGAGGGCTTCCGTGTCGCCGCTCTGTCTCAGGCGTCCCCCTGAACTGGATCATATTCCCAAACACGGCCTGTGGGCCTGTCCTCTCAGGCCTCCCACAAGCAGAGAAGGTCAGTGTGTCTTAAACTGAACTCACCATCTTCTGTGACATCTTTGGTCTTTTTTTTAATAGATTTGAATTTTTTAGAGGAGTTTTAGGTTCACAGCAAAATTTAACAAGAAGTGCAGAGAGTTCCCGCTTCACCCTGACCCCACATGCGCATGCACACAGCCTCCCCAACTGTCTGCAGCCCAGTCTCCCCGACCACCCGCAGCCCAGCCTCCCCAACCACGTGCAGCCCAGCCTCCCTGACTATCTGCAGCCCCAGAGCAGGACACTTGTGGCATCGATGACCCTACACTGATACGTCATTATCAGCCAAAGTGCATAGTTCACATTAGGGTCACTCTCGGTGCGTCTCTCTGGTCCTCTTTACTTACTCTCTGTCCTGATGTTGGCACTGTCACCCACCAGGCAGCCCCGTGGGAACCTGGGAAGTCTCCCCTGACTGCCCCTGCTCGCTCACCCCACGCTCCATGCCCGAGGCACGCCAGTCCTATGGCCCAGGTTTCCTTGAATCCAGCCCCTCCCCTTGGCCTCTATTCTGTTGCTCATGTTGAGTCTCTTCATCGGAACCGCTGGAAAGCTACTGACTGGTCTCCCTGCCTCCCTTTTGTCCCCACAAATCCATTACCAACCAGAATGTCTGTCAAAACCACAAATCCGGCAGTTTCACACTCCAGTTTAAAACCCTTCGGTGGCTCCGCGTTGTCCCTACGGCACATTGAAAGCTTGCTGGATGGGCGGAGAAAGCCCCGTGGGATCCCACCTCCCAGAGTGACTCCCCAGCTTGTGCCCTCCCACCCTGTGCTCCAGCACCACTTCATCACTCAAAACCTACCGCTTCTGTTCTCTGCCTGACTCACGCCCCAGTGCTTGGAATGCCCTTCGCCTTTATCCAGCCACCTCTGCACCTCGTGTAAGGCCCCGTTAGGATCATGTCCTATAGGAGGTCCTCCCGGCTCCCCGGATCAGGGGGTGTCTTCCATCCTCTGCTACACTGCCTCCCTCAGTCACTGCGCTTTCTCCATCGTATTGGAATGACCGTTTATGAGACAGACCGCAGACTGTGAGCTCTTTGAGGTCGGCGACCGTGTCTTGCTGTCTTTGACTACTTGGCGCCTAACACAGCGCTTAGGGCTCCGTAAATGGAGAGAGAGCGAGGCCCAGAGAAGAGAACCAAAGATGCATGAGGTTAGGTGCAGGAGAAAATCTGGCCTGGGGTTTTTGACCTCAGAAGAAAGAGCTTTTGACACATGTCACAGGTACCAATGGGGTTAAAAAGATTGCTTGAGACGATTATAATCGATGAGCTTGGAGAGAAAGGCTGGGATTTCACTGTGAGGGTAGAAGAGCTAATTGTGAACAAGGAAGTAAGGGAAAGTCATCCCAGTTCCCGATCACCTGCCTGTTGGTCGTTGATGCCTGTGGGTGACTCGGAGAGCACCCCTGCTGTCTCTTACTGCAGAGGCACATGACAGTTGATGAGATTTAAAGAAAACAAAAATGTGGCACACAGAGCACCCCGGACCCAGCAGTGGTTCTTCCAGCATCTCACTGCCAAACCTAGTGTCGATCTCTTACCCTCGGGGGCCTTCCTTCAGGTCCTGAGCTTGCAAGAAGCAGGTTAGAGTAGCACTTTCCCACCCTGTAGGCCCACTGCGGGTTTGCAAGAAGACATTCTTGGCAGGGAGGCTGCCATCTGTTCTGTGTACCACTGGGGTCCGGTACTTCATGCACTTGAGCGCGCTGAGGTCCGTGCGCCCCTTCATCCACGTCACTCCCAGCCGCTGTATGCGGCACACACGAGGCTCTGGGCCAGTGCTGACCACCACCGCCAGCAAGACCGAGGCAGGCATCGCCGTCCCACTGCTTGGCTCAGACCCCCCCAGCCAAAGCAGCCACTCCCCCTGTGCCCTGCTCTTCTCTTCTTGACGTTTATCATCTCTAAAGCTGTCATTTCTATTGCTTGTTTCTGTTTTCCTCTTCCACTAGAATGTAAGTGCCCTGAGCGCAGGGCCTCGACGGCCTCGTTCAGGGTTGCACCATCTGTGCCGGCCCAGGCCCACATGCAGAAGTGCTTGCTGAGCGCGTGCAGATGGCGGTTGCATTAGTGTCATGCAGGATGGGCAGGGGGCTGGGAGAGGTCTGGAATCGAGGCTTGTAGACAGCAGTTAGCCACGCAAAGGAAATGTCAGCTATATAACGCAGCCCATCGCAATGTCCGGGAGCCCTAAGGTTGCCTTCCCACGTGCTCAGTGACTGTATTTCTCATGCCAGTGAATAGAAACCCACCCTCCTGGGACATGTGGTGCCCTTCTTGACCTAGGCACTGCCTCCAGACTGTCCCTTACACAGACTTACTGAACCCCAGTAACCTGGGGAGAAAAGGTTACATCCAGCTCTACTGAGTATCGGGGAGATGTCTGCAGAGTGCAGCTCGGTACTGTCCCTTAGGTGGTGTCTCATGCCTATAGTAACAACGTATCACGGCCATGGTGCTCTTGCGACTGAGGTGGGCAGCATGCTTAGTGGCTTCGGGTTCCCCTAGGTGGGTTTATCTGTAAAACCACATTTGAAAAACCTCAGCAGCCATTTCTGGAGAGACTGTCATGAAATGTATTTGTGCAAAAATGTCATTATTTCTAGGTGGTGATTATTTACTCAAAAGCCAAACTTTATCTGAAAAATCAGATTTCAAGAACCATGGAGAATTATTCTGGCCTTGTGTGCTGTGGCTTTCTGGGACATCTCTCAGATTTTGTCAGTCTCAGCTTGGTGAGGAAGTAGGGGAGGGGCAGAGGAGGGGTCATTTCAACACCAGCCTCTGCTGGTTCTTGAGGATGTCCGTCACCTTCAGCAAAACACTGGCCGGTGCTCAAACACTCAGATGAGACACCAAATTACCTTTCAGCTGAGTTCCCGTTGCGCCAGAGCCTGGCCGTGTTAGCAGCACAGTGCGGCAGCCCTGTCATCTTCAGCCACAACATGCTTGACAGCTGGTTATTCCTTGCGTCTCTGTGGCCTCTGGGAGACGGGGAGCTTGGCACAGGGGCACTGTCCCCAGTGCTGAAACTGGTGCTCCTGGGAGCTGGTGGGGGTGGGGGTGTGACGGAGGTGATTCCACCCAGTAGCTTCCAAAACGGGAAAACAAGGAACATGTGCCTACATAGACCTGCAGGGGCTCTGCCAGAGAACAGAACCCCTGGACGTGAGCTATGGCCACACGGCTGGCGCTGATGGTTCTGCTCCTGTGCACACCGACTGGTCTGCAGCCCTGAGTGTCTCTCTCTCAGGCTGTTCCGTGTTCCCTGGGCTTCTGGCCCCACAGTAAGCACACCTGACTCGATTCAGTGCTAGAGGTGGGAGAAAACACCTGTTGAATTGCAGGGACTCATAGATCAGTGTTGGGGGCCAATGGCGAAAATCCTGTGACCACGTTCACACTTGGTTTGCCATGGAGTATATATATTGTCTGAAAGAAAATGAATATGTTGGCTCCTCTTGCTTAGAAAACATCTACAAACGTCCGTGTGTCTCCCCCAGCTGGAGCCTAGCGTGTGCCTGCCACTCAGCCTACTGCTGCTGACGTGGGCACGCTGCTAAGAGACGGGAGGCAGGTGGCGTTTTTCCCACTTTCAGGCAAAATGTGGCACCTAGGGCTCGGCTTTCCACAATTTTAATTTTTTTAACACTTTCAAAATGGCTTGCTTCAGTATCTCCATCACAGAAGCACAGACCTTTTCCCAATTTCTTTTTAATAACTGCTTCAGATGTTCAGAGATGAACAGAAGTCATTTGGTCAAAACCAGACTCTGTCAACACACGAGTCAGCCTCCCACTCATTCTCCGGCAAGCGCCTAGACTGGGCTGTAAATGGGCTTTGACTTGCATCTAGCTT